TGGCGAGGTTATTTTTTTTTTTTTAAAGGGGAAACAGCCAGCTGATTTAAACTGATTGGAAATGGCCCAAAGTTGGTTTCTTCTCTCATCTTGACGACCTTCAGATCCCAACAAATGATATGTGGATGATTATTTCCTTCATTGCAAACCTTAGACTGGGGTAGCTGTGAAATAAGTTGTGCAGTGCTCTGAGGTAAAGAAAAGGGGAACAGCTACAGTGTCTTTCAGAGGTTAGGTCTATTTTGGTAATGAAGTCTCCCCGTGTACGTGTGCACTGGTAGCTGGAGAGGTGTCAGTTCCACCTCCTGCACACTGCCGAGGTGCCCTTGAGCAAGGCGCCTAACCCCTAATTACACACTACTACATGGCGGACCATTACACCACCATCTCTCCACATTTGCATGTCTATAAGCCGTGTGTGTGCATGATTGTGCTTCAGGCCTTTGTGTGCGTAAACACGGAGTGAAAACAGAATTTCCCAACTGGAGGTAAATAAAGTATATCTTCTTCTTCTTCTTTTTCTTCTTCTTCATGACAGCACTCCTTCCTGTCACCTGCCTTTTGCAGCCATCAGGCCACATTAAGGCCGCTCTTAGGTGCACGGAAAGAGATGTGATGATAAAGCTGTCCAGACAGGATTCGAGGAGTGGGTTGTCAGGTCGGAGCGGAAGTCAGTCTGTGTTTCTCAGGCACTAGCAGTGAACCGGTGCACCACTGGTTGTCTTGTCAGGAATATTACATTTTGTTTTTAACCCTGGGCTTGCCACAGATACAGTTGCTATTTTAGTTTTATTTATGCAATTTAAATCAGCAAGCAAATTACGGATATATTTGTGTGCTTCCATTATCTCACCTGACAACTTTACTCTCAAATATGAAAAGGATGCATCTTTGGCTGGCTACAGTTCAGGTGTACACATAGTGCTCTGTATTAATCTCACAAAAATATCCCACATGATTTGAACATATTTGATACATGAATTGAAAATCAATCAAAAAGCAAAGACTAATTTAATAGAGGAGAGCAGCTTCATCAAACTATAATTACTATGCTTTTAATTAATTCCTGTCTTGTCACTTTTAAATTGACAAAAATGCCAGTCCATTGTTTGCTTTTCAGGGATTCATTGATTTTTTTTTTGCTCGTTCTGATTCTTCTTCACAAAATGAACACTAATCTCAGAGCCACAGTATGGTAGAGAGGAAGAAAAGCCCTGTGCACATCAAGCATCCTCCTCCCTGCCTCCTTCTGTCGGAGCAGATACAGATCTTACTTAGACTGCTGTTTTGGAAGATCCTTCCATTATTTCACGCTCACAGGTTTCTTTTTTCCATTAATGTGCTCTATTTTTTCTCCACTTCCTCTTTAACGTAAGACCCAGCTTGAATTTGCATTACGATTTGTCCTACTGATAGACGTTGTGGCTTACGTTGTGCACACTATTTCAGGTCACAGTTTGAAAAATGTTTTTGTTTGTCTCTTGCTTTGAGGTTTTTTCATTGACCACAGACAAATGAGCGTGTGTTGCAATACTTGCTCTCCTGTAGGCCTTCTGCCAGAGGGTAATTGCTTTCACACGCTATATAAAATATCTATGCATGTGTGTGTGTGTGTGTACATACAGTATCTCCCCAGTGCACACCAGCTGTTACCCATACCTTGTGGCCAGAGACACATAGAGCAACACAATGTAAAGCTTCACTCTGCAGAGATCGAGATGTACTGCAGCTGAGCGAGGCGAGCTTTTGCTTAATGGGGATTATTTTATGTGACAAAGGGTTCAGACACTTCTTAATATAGACAACTCAACATAACTAGAGTTTTTCACCGGCCTTTACGACCAGAACAAACCTGGAATATTTAATGTTTGGTGTACAAAGTGAAAATGCTGTTCTACAGTAGCTCTCATATCTCTTCATAGATTATCACCAGGGATGCAACAAGCACTCAGATGCTTTGCTTAAGTAAAAAAAAATACTAATAAAATAATGAAAAATACTCCATAACAAGTCTTACATTTAAAGCACAAAAAAGTACCAAATTATTTATCATCAAAGAAAATTTCCCTAAAGTATCAAAAAGAAGATTTCTGCTTCTACATAAAACTGATCCCAGTGACATATTACATATAAGTGAGATTAATTGTATTATTATTATTATTATTATTATTATATTGTTAATTGCATTTTGCTGTTGTTGCTGGTTTAATTACTTTATATATATATATAATTAGAAAATGTACACACCACATCACACACTTTAAAAAGGTCACCAAATAAATCTGAGAAGTGAGAAATCAAAAGAGAAAATAGGAAAAAAAGTTCTGCTACATATATTCATGTTAATGTATTAAGGGGAAATGTCTCTTTTATATAGAACTAAATAAATGAAGTGTAAAATAACTTTCAACCACAGATTATCACAATCAGTATACTTAGAGGAAGGGAGTTTGTATCTGTCTTTGTACTGATAAACATGCAATATGATGTTATAACATGACAGATTCCGTGGAAATACTATCTGTGGATCTGTGCTTTTAGATGGGAAAGTTTCATTATTGCTCCGACAGTAACTGCTTCCCACTGAACCACAACTGTGTAATCCGTAATTATTTACTTACTAAGCTTGAAATACTTTTACTTTCTGTTAACACTTTGAATTACATATTAGTAGATGTCTCAGTACTGAAATTCCCTATGTCAGACTTCTCTTCGTGGTAGTAAAGGGACGTACGACCACCATGACATTGCACAATCACCATCACTTGCACGTGTCCCTGTGAGGTTATGCTGCTGGAATGTGGGATTGCAGTGCAAAATGTCAACATCACCGCTATACATGCCCTTGCCTGTGGGGTTGGTTGGCCGGTTGGCAGTGGTAGAGGTGCTGACAGGCCTGACAAGATGCTTTCTGTGTCTCTTACAGGTGGGTGTTCATCTATGAGAAAGGCTACCAGTCCTCAGACACAGCGGTAAGCTCTGTCTTCAGCAAAATGAAAGGAGTGGGCTATACCAATGTGAGTGGAAGTGAGAGAATCTGGGATGTTGCCGACTACGTCTTCCCTCCGCAGGTTGGTGACTGGTTGGCATGATGTGAATTGTTCAAAACTGATTTAGGAGTCACAAGTCTTCATTTCCACTGACTCGTTTACTGACTCGCCCCTCCTACCTCCTAAAATGTACAAACTGCGTAGACGAGGTGAGACCACGTGTCACTCACACTATTGTGCAACTTAACTTTTTGTGGAAATGTATTAAGCTGATTACTATATTAACCAAACCCTCACTGTAACACCTGATGAGTTAGTTCAACTCAAATTGTTTGAGGAAACAGGTTGCCTTAAACTGTAAAATTTATTACCTCCAACAATTGAAACATGCAAAAATATACAAGTAGAGTACAAGTAATTATAATACACTTATATGCAGCATTTATCCAAAATGATTGAAAATGTTATTTATCTGAAAAATGACTAACTTTAATGCAAATTCTCTATACATATGTTAGAAATAAAATGACATTTACTCAGTTTCTTCCACTAAAACAAATAATTACATTACATTAGCTATGATTAAGTTAGCTTACTTCTTTTATTAAGATATGTTGTTGGATTTACAGTGATGTGAGAAGAACAACTGCTTTGGCACTTGTTTCAACTCAGTACTCACTCTCCCAGCCTGGAGCCCGGCCCTTGCCCTGAGCTGAAGGTCTGACTCAGGCGGCACGAATCGCTCACTCACTATAATTTTTTTGCGTCACAACCTCCATGAAATTACTTGTTTGAATGAATGAAACCGGAAATTAGTCAGCTGGGCCCCCGGCAGTCTGGTGCACATTTCTATCGGTGCTGGGTGGATTCTCTGTGCCTGACTTGGTGACTCTAGTGACTTAAAAACCTGATTCTTTTTACTGAGTGACTTACACTCAAGAGCGGAACTTCCTATCTTTATTGGCTAAAGGCTTTTCTTGCGAGCAGGGACACTTAATATGCTCATCACATGACTCCTAATAGGTCAATCTGGGTGTGCTGGGTGCATCCATACAGAACTAAGCAAACAACCTATAAAAAAAAAAGACTCAAATATATTTCTTTGTTTAACCAAAATGTTGCTGGGTCTGTGGGAAAGAAAAATAAAGAGACACAATAAAGACTGTCATGTTTGCTTTGAAGTCTGGGTGTAGGCCTTTTTAAATTCAGAGCAGGTTGGTCACAATATAATGTCTCTCGCTTTGATCAGGTATCAACGATTAGTTCATCTTTATTCTGAAATCCACCTCTTTGTCTGTGTACATTTCCCAGATGGTTGTTGTTTTACTAATTTAGTTTATTACTTTCTGTGGTAATGGTTCAGTTTGAGAGAAACTTAATCCAATAGGCCATACTTTGTGTTCTGAATGGCTCTGTGACAGTAAACTTAAAGGTCAACAGCATCAAACTAGAATATTGTGGCATTCAGCATCTTGTCTCCAATGATACCACCTTACATCAAGAACATTCCTATTGAAATAAAAGAGCGTAACCATGGTCATAAAGTAAAAATACATGTGATAGTGTAAATATATAAAATAATAGTCATAATATTTGGGGAAATGTGCTTATTTGCTTTCTTTGCCAAGTGTTAGACGAGAACGTCGACACTAAATAAAGCCAAGAGCCGGTTAGCTTAGCTTAGCATAGCATGAAGACTGGGGGGAACAGCCTGGCTGTCCGAAGGTAACACAATCTGCCCACCAGCACCTCTGACTGTGTGTTCAGACAAGCTCATTTTAGAGGCAGTGTGAGTGCATACAAAGTCAATAGAAAGTCATGATTAAACACAAATTTGCCCAAAGAGGTGAGTGAAAAATAAAAAAGGAGAGTTTCTTTTGAGTTCAGTCAGAGGCTGAGCTGTCACAGACACACACACACACACTATCACAGGTGGTGGTTTAAACCATACGGATAGATACAGAGAGTGGTGTCAATCTTCTTATAAAACTAATCAGTTATGGCTAGAAAGCAGAAAGCATATTTCTCAAGATGTTAAACTATTCCTATGAGCTGAAAACAGGCCATGTGCAGTGGAAAGGTTTTGTTTGCGGGCGTTTGTGATGTCAGCAGGGTCACTACAACTGACTGTTTGACAGGCTGCCTACAATAAACTTTAGCATTTTGCGTAACAACTACTGCATCTTGCACTGTCATTTTATGGCATAAATAAATGTGATTGATTGAAAAACATTTAACACATTACTTCTTTTAATTTACTCTAACTTAACCTCAGGGAGACTCATCTTTTGTGGTGATGACAAACTACATCATAACTGAAGGTCAGAAGATGGGAAACTGTCCAGAGGTAGGTGAAAATGCTCCTCTCATTTTCTTTTTCCATCTCTCCTCCTCCCTGACTTCTTCTTCCTGTCAGCTTTGTTGTTCTCCCTCTGACTTAAACACTTCCATAAATAGTAAAACAAAACGGAAACTGTGTCTCATTCCAAGACTGTTTCTGTAATTGGGTAATTGTGTAGTTGTTGAATAGCAGAAAAAAAGAAATTCGACGTATTGGCCTTGAGGTAAGCGCTGCAAAACATTACAATAAATGCAAGACTTTATTTTCACACTGTCGTGTTGTTTTCATGTTTGAAATGCGCTGGTCTCCTCACATCCACATTCCACAGTTGTGTACAGACACTAACTCTGATCTCTTGTGTGTAACAGCTCCCAGGCAAGGACAACTGCAGCTCGGACGCAGACTGTGAAGGAGGGAGTTTCAAACGTACGGGACATGGTAAATCCTGACGGCCTGACAGTGTGGGACCGCAGCAGTCCTCACTGAATAACCGTCTGTCTGTCTGTGGACAAACTCAAATCAGTCTCAATATCTCTTGTTAAACTTCTAGGGGCAGTGACAGGATGTACTGAGGGAGGTAGAGAATTATGGCAGGTTATGAAACAGTGTATTTACAAAATGGGTTGTGGCTGTTGAGAACTGCTATAGATTGGCTCATGCAGTAGAAACTAAAATACACCAGATCTGACTCATCACTGTAAACATTTACCACACTTATTTAACATTTAACACATGACATATTGTGTGTGCGTGTGTGTGTTTGCGTCATGGTGTACTGACCACTAAAGCATGCAGCTTAAACTCTGCCTTAAGCAAGTAGACATGTATATATAAGCAAAGGCACAGGCGTCACAAAAACTCCTGTGCAGTTGACACAAATCATAAGCACACAGATACATTAAAAACAAATAAGGCTTCAAACAAGAGCTTTTAATTTAATAGGTCCAAACATATACAGTAGGCCTATTGTCAACGAGTTCAAAGAGCAGTTATATAAATTTATTGTCCTCCAGCTGTCCCAGGGTTAAATTCTGACTCTTTCAAGTCCTCTGTGACCCACATCAACTTCAATAAGACCAATCTTGGCCAAAGCTTTAGATCTGTCTGTTTCCGACCAGTCAAATTCACCTTGAGGTGCCTGTATCTCTTTAGAGGCAGCGTGCTGTCTCTATGCTTGTAGACAAGTAAACACGGGGGGCACCCCTGTAGCTAAACAGACTGGTGGGCTCCAGCGAAAGGTCAGAGACTGAAGCGAAACCAAACGCCTGCTGGAGAACTATCTGTAATCTCATCCAGCACACGATGAGAGAGACAGATACCAGCAAAGTTAATCACATAGAGAGAAATGATATAGTAGGATCAGGGCCTGATAAAGGAAACAGCTATTTCAGCATTTGCTTTGCCTCACTTTTATATCTTGCTTGCTGCTGTCGATGCTAATTCAAGATAAGATGATTAAACCCTACTTCTTTCTTCTTTTCGCTTTTTTTTTTTGCAGCTTGAAACACATGTTTTGCTTTTGCTAAATTCTAGCTCCAGTTTTAAGTTTTGTCTCTAATGGCGAGACATGGTTTTATTTCAAGGACAAATGACGGGAAAGTGTGTGAATACCACGAAGACCTGTGAAGTGTTGGCTTGGTGCCCCGTTGAGGATGATAACAACATACCAGAGTATGTGGAAACATTGAATCATTCAGACTGCAAGTTGATACTGACTTGCAATGCATGTGATGGGTGAATTTGTTATGATTCTGCGCCATTACATAGCTGTCATGAGAAATATTGTATTATTTTATTTATGCTCCTCAGCGTACTGGATTTGATACTCTTCTCTCTTCTGTTTATTCCCTAGTCCTCCTCTGTTGATGTCTGCAGAAAACTACACTCTGTTCATCAAAAATTCCATAACGTTCCCCCTTTTTGAAGTCATAAGGTGATGAACCTCATCCATATCAAGTTAAATTTAGCTAATATGAATAAGTAAATTAATACAAATGAGCCAGGATTTAGTGTATGTTGTTTCTCCTACCCTAATTAATAATAAATAAAATCACATCTTTAAGGGGCACTCCACAGATTTTACACAAATAGGGCATGGATGAGGGCATATACCATCTAATGAAGGATTGTACTCAGTTGCATTATGGGAATAGCAGGATCCAGTGTTCTTCTTCTTTCTTCTTAAGAATGTGTTCGCGTACGGATTGCGTTTCCCCCGGGATGAGATCCGATCCTAATTTGAGCCTGACCACCTCCAAACGTGTTCTGGCTGATCTAATCATATCCATTGTATTCTGCATACATTTACACCTGCCTTTAACATGCATTTTTCCTCATCCAGATACAGATTGCATTTTAAAGCAAGGTGTAAATGGAGTACAAAGGTCAGGAGATCTTTGCTTCTGTTGCACTGATACTGATTTTTCTGTTTTTAATCTGTCTCTTGAAGTTCCCAAACTTTATGAAAGTGCAACACTAAACTGCTGGAGTACCCCTTTAAGTTAGAAAGTTTTGCCCTACCAGGGGTTTACATTCATGTTGTTGGTAAAAGCAAAACAAACAAAATGTCACACTTTGTCTTTAAATGTTTAAAGATTATAAATGTCTCAAAGGCAAACAGACAAATGTAATTTGAGGATATTATTATTCTTTTCCGGAACAAAATTCAACACACTAAAATAGCTCCATTTAGATTATTACCATGTTTTTAATGACCAATTGTGTTTTCAGGAGTAACCTGGTGGAGGGTATCGATAATAATTACATCAGCAAATGCCTTTATGATCCAGAGGATGCTCCACTGTGTCCCATATTCAAACTGGGAGACGTAGTTAAATTGTCTGGCTTCAATTTTGAGACAATAGCCAAAGTGGTAAGTCAGCTGCATAATATCATCACTCAACACTGCATGGGTAGAAATGTTTTTCAGGTGGAGAGGAATATTTCCATTCCACATAATCACAGCTGCACATGTATTGTCTTTTGGTGTTTTGTTTCTTTTGTCTCTCTTGTTACCATGCAGACTTGTATCATGTATTATGTGCTTGTGTCCTGTCAGGGAGGGGCCATCGGGATTGTGATCGACTGGACATGCAACCTAGATTACAATGTAAAGCACTGTAAACCAACGTACAACTTCCACGGGCTGTACGGAAACCCTGATGAGAAAGACAAAGCCAGAGCTTCAGTGGGCTACAATTTCAGGTGTGTAACATACTTTACTGAATTATTAGACTCATAGAATACTTCTTGGTCGTAGCTCTGGTGCTCTCTCACTTGGCTTTCTGGCTGAGAGATGGATGAGAAGATTAATACCGCACTCATGTTTGAGAGTTTGTGTTCTCTGTCTCTATGTAAATATTTACCAAATGCTTTGGCAAATGCATTCTGTCAACATATTGTTAGATTGTGAATCCCCATTGCTGTTTGTAGGTTTGCAAAGCATTATCTGGAGGACAAAGTTCAGAAAAGAACCCTTCTCAAAGTGTTTGGGATCAGGATCGATATCATTGTGCAGTCACTGGTAAGTAATGTGTTATCTACCTAGATGAATTTCTGACTAGAGAATGGACAGTGGGAATTTTGAATCATTGGCACTCTATCCTTCACAGGCAAGAAAATTTGATATCATCCCAACACTGACAGCTATAGGCTCTGGAGTGGGCATTTTTGGAGTGGTATGTGGAGTAATACCTGCCATAATTATTCACTGTCTGTGGAATCATTTGTACAAACTAATATCTGATTCTTTTTCAGGCAACTGTAGTCTGTGACTTGGTGCTGCTCTACTTGCTACCAAAAAGAGAATTTTACAAGAACATGAAATTCAAATACACAGATACACAGACACAGGTAAGCTCTATGATGCAGATTAACTGGATATTTTGTTGAGTTTGAACACAAGATGGCAGCAGAGAGGCATTTAACAATGGCAGTCCAGATAGAACAGTATGTAGTGGTCAGTGTTGGATAATCACTGATTTAATCAGGATTATATTATCAGATTACAAAAATAAAGTAACTATAATCAGCACAGGTTACATTTTAAAAAGTGTGTTGATTACATTTTTTGTACATCTTTAAAGGCCCATTGTGTAACATTTAGGAGGATATATTGGCAAAGATGGAATATAATATTCATAGCTATGTTTTCATTAGTGAATAATCATCTGGAAATAAGAATTGTTGTGTTTCTGTTACCTTAGAATGAGCTCTTTTATCTACAGACACCACAGGTTGTTTTTAATGGAGGCCACCATGTTTCTACAGTAGCCCATAATAGAAAAAAAAATCCCTTGCACTAAATAATGAACTTTGTTTTTTTCACGTTTTGACCACCATAATTTCTCCTTTATGCTTGCAAGAGGAGGGTGAAACAAGGGACTTGAAACTGGCAACTACAAGGCTAGAGACCACTAAATCCTACATACTGGTCCTGTAAAATCTGCCAATGCTCTATGAACCCTTTGAGGCATAAAAATCTCGCTATGGGAATGTTCGTGTTCGTGAATTGTGCGTTTGTGTACGTGTTTGCACAGCCTCTGATTGCTCGACAGACTCAATTCAAGGCATCATGAAAATCATCAAGGAAAAATGGATAAATAATCATGAGAGGACATCCAGCATAATTTAATCTGACCAACTGTAAATGCTGAATATGCTAAATGAATTATATTTGCACTGAATTTTTCAGTTTTTCACGTTTGAGACGTTTAAGGAGGAAAAGAAAATATTTGTGGCTGTGTCCATTTCTTTAGTAGAAGGTGAAATATTTTTAAAGTTGGACATAATCCAAAAGTATTACTGATTAGATTACATTGTTTTTGTAGTCCAATTAATTATGTTACTAATACAAAAATGTCCATGTAATTTGTAATCGTTAAAGGTCCAGTGTGTAACATTTAAAAGGATCTATTGGCATAAATAATATAATAATATGTTTTCATTAGTGTATAATCGCCTGAAAATAAGAATCATTGTGTTTTTGTTACTTTAGAATGAGACGTTTTTATATTCCAACGCTACAGGTCACATTCCGCTATGTTGAACCTCCATGTTTCTGCAGTAATTACTCCCACACGCTTCACAGCAAATTCTCATTCCCAGGTCGTCAAATATGTTTGTTATAGTAATAGTGATGTTAGTTGCAATACCCAACTTCACTACTAGATGCCACTAAATCCTAAACACTGGCCCTTTAACTGACTACATTTCAAAATAGTTTGACCCACTAACTAAGTAACTAACTAAGAACTTGTCTAACTAAGTAACTAACTCACAAACTAACTAAGTAACTAACTAACTAACTCACAAACTAACTAAGTAACTAACTAACTCACTAACTCACTCACACACTCACACTGGGAGTGGTGCTCATTTTATCTGATAGAAGATGCAGTCTTCTCCTATCCTCCCAGACAGTTTCCCTCTTTAACTGAAACAGACAGAACATTTTGTATTTACAGCAGGACAGCGAGTCGCTTGGTTTAGACACAGGCGTCTATTACACCATTGAAGCAAATGCAAGACAAGTCCATGGCATTGACAAGTCCAACGTGAGTGCATGTAGAAGTCCAGACAGTATAGCAGCTTTTTTTTTTTTTTTTAAATGTATTTTATCATGTGATGATGAGGAGAATCCCTTTTTTCATTACCTAAGAGGTCTTAATTGCTGCTCTCCTGTGGATTTGACTTTCATCCTACAGGACCCTGATTCAGAGGCAGGTAGCACAGAGACTGAGGTATCTAAGGTAAGGGATTGATATATTTATCAGAACAATAAAGCCTGTATGATTGGTTGTCTGTGATGGCTGATGTTTTATTTATCTGCTATTCTTGTGTAGAAGTGACCTGGGAGCAAACTTACAAGGTGCCACTTTGAAGATGCGCTGCACTGGAAACCTGAAAGACACACACACACACACACACAATGGACTCAGGAGGTCAAATGACATTGTTCCACGTGTTCACTATTTCTTCTTGATCTTCAGCAGCATCTTGTATCAACAACTCTTAAAACCACTTGGAGGGACTGACTCTTCCTATTGTATGTAGAGCCCTAGCGTAGCGCAGCTGTATGTGTACTTCTGGGTGTAGCTTGATTTGCTTTTGTTCACACTTTGGGTGTTACCTCCGCCTCCTGTCTTTGTATCTGTACAGGTGAAACAACAATTTCTGGCACTTTAGTGCTCCTGTGTGTACACAAATCAACCATAAGTCATCTATTACCTCTGTCACTGTCTTTGTCAAAGCAAGTTATACATATATAATGTGTGGAAGTGCCACCGTCAGAGTGATTCATCCTGTGTGTACCTTGTGATCGACAGTTGAATTCAATAAAAGATGTACAGAAACATTACGGCTTTTTTCTTTTGCTTCGCACTGTGAGTAGTCAAACAGGAGTACATGCAAAACATCAAAAGGATTCAGATTTTCCTTTTTATTGTCTTTGATTATGTCTAGGTGTACAAAAAGCATGCAAAAAATAGCTTCTTTATATATATTGGTACATATTTACATTGTAACAACTGCATTCCATAGGTATGTGCCATGCTTCTGTTTTTGTATGAGCGACAGGCGAGTGAGTACATTCAGAGAAATGCACAAGACAACACAAGACAGCAGGCACCTTCAACACACACATCAGGACAGTCACAGAAGATACACAGCAACGATCCAATCGGCCTCGACTCACTCTCCCACAGTCCTCTTCCTTTGGATATAACTATGACCTGAAATCATGAGAAATTAGTCCTGTCACTCACTTCCTGTGCTGCGACTGTGGCAGCTGCACCCACTGATTTTCCTTCTGTGTTTCACCACAGTGACAACACCAAGCTAGAAATCATTTAGGGTGAGTAATCCTCCTGCCAAGGCTGTACAATCCAATGCATCTGATATTTTCAAAATAGAATGAATATGTGTCAGGATCCAGATCTGAATCAAAACAGTGAATAGAGAGAATATCTTAAGTCTACAAGGACGAATTGAGCAAAGAGTCACACAGGTGGAGGCCATTTAAATGTATTATGTGTTATAGTACCACTTTTAGGCAAAATTCAATTAAATTTAGAAGGCTCAATTAGACTTAATGCAGTATGCGCATATGTGATTGTAACTGCTCATTTAGGAGTTAAAACTGGTATACATACATTTTATAAATGTACCAAATTAAGTGAAGATGGTTTTACAAAAAAAATAAAATTGCAGAAATCTCTGTAGGTGGAAATATGTATGGCCTGATTGACTGACACATCCTGTACTAAGGAATCAGGAAATTAGAATTAGCTCAGGAATTACAACATGAAAAGATACTGTAAGGTCTTTCTAAATGGCCATTTGATAATGCAATCTGCATTGAAAGCAGGTCTTCCTCAGTTCGATGTCTAATTTCCTACTAAATGTAATTGAAATCTGGTTAGAGGTTGTGGATATGCTTAAACTAACAGATCTACAGAAAAAATAACCCTTGCAGAGATAATAATGTCTATTAAAAAATCTATTAGAAAAAAAGAGACGGCTGGGCGGCATGAAGACACTGTCCTATGGTTAGAGGGTTAAATGTTTCATCTTCAAGGGCAGCAAGTAATCATCCATCACTGTGTCTCTGGAGGAGATCTTGAAAAGAAAGCTGCTATTTCCAGCTGCTCCTGTGCTCTGAGACCTGCTCCTTAAATGTAGTTTACAGTGTTTTAGCATTATGTATGAGCAATGCAGTACAATCCGGAAGTCCCTTGCTCCAGTTACACAACATTCACAACTCAGAGTTATAATTTGGATATTCACAACAAAAACAACTATTTAAAACCAATCTCGTTACTGCAGCTGTTACAGCATTTTGACACAGACAGGAGAATAAATTGCTGGAAAATGGAAACATTATAGTTTCATTTGTAAAAATGTTCAAAAACCAGGCAGCAATGCTGTGACATGCAGATTGATATCAAAGAGCAATGCTTCAAAAAGCACAGGAGACTGTGACACAGTAAATATGGTCTTTTACAGGTGAACCACACAGTTCTTTCCTTGATTATAAACTGTACAATCTTAAATAGCTGGCAGGTACCAGTAGTGTTATATGCAATCACAATAGCTTTAATATGTATCTCAGTGGAAAAGTGCAAATATTTAAATAGAAGCATATTCTTTTCAACAAGGACAACTAAAATGCAGATAAGAGGATAACAGGCACATGAGCAAATAATGATAAAGACGACAACAATATTGCACCTCCGACACTGACAAATGTCTGTACAAAGACACAAATGTAAAGCTGGACACATCTACGACCAAAAAAATTCGTTTTTTAGCAAATAAAACTGAACACACCATTTTATACTTTTTGGTTCAAACAGCCCTTCATTGAAGGTTACCCTGCACACAGACCTCAGTACCTTTGTTCACTTCCATCATCCTCAACAGAGAGAGTACGAACAAAAACAAAAGAAACACATGATTAACCCTTAATTTCAAACTGCATATACAACATTTCAAACAATTAGACATTAAGATATTAATTTATCTTTTACAAACATATCTTACCACATTTTACTGAACAATTTAAAAAAAGATATAGAGCTTCACATTCCCCAGCCCTCACATGATAATAAAGTTGACATTTTAATGTTAAAAGCATTCATGATTTTTATGCATAAAGTCTCTGCCTCTGTGTACACAAATCCCCAAACACAGAGGCCCAAGCATTCCCCATTCAGATACTACCAATCCTTCTCTCTGAGCTCCAGCTAGCATCCTTCACTGGCAGAGACTGAGGGCAAGATTAACGGGGGAAATGCAAAACGCTGCGCTCCCCGTTTCTAATCAGCCACACTGGGGTCGGCACTGAAGTGGATGGGGAAGGGTTGTTGATGTTTGCAGCCTGGGCCTAATTATGACTTTGAAATGCTCCTTTTCACTGTGGTTCAAGTGATCAGAGCATTCTGTCGGCCAAACATGCTTTCTTTCACAGAGCGACGCACCAGGCCAAAGAGGAGGAAAGAATCAAACTGGATTTATATAAACATTTATCTGAGGCCGAGCTGCTGTGGAGGCAGAAATGTTCTCATTGATTTGAGTCGGCGGAGACAAAGCAACCCACACATTGGGCTTTTTTTATGCTAGCCCACAACATTGAATGGAAAACAAAGGACTCAAATCACAAAAAAAAATAAAATAAAATCTTTTCCATTCATCCATGTTCCCAACATTTGTGATCTCACATCTTACCCAGCTCTACAAACTTACATGGCTAGTTGGAACTTCAAAAGGTCAGCCAGGCAAACTGATGTAGTTAGGGACTGTATAAAACTGACTGGGGTGGGGAGGGGTGTGAAATTTTAGGTTTCAGTTTTTAAAGGTTAAATATATGAAATTCATCTGCCACTGGATGTCGCACTAGAGTACCATCATCTGAGACCAAAACAATGGGAAAGAAACAATTAATATACATATAAAATCAAAATAAACCCATAATTCACAGAGTTAGATGTGAAAATATTCATGAAAAGGTCTACAATGGCCACAAAGTAAGCGAACGTTAATCCTCAAAGTACGTTCACTAAAGGTGCTTGGTTTTGCCACTGACAGGCTCAGAATGTTGAGACTGACAACATTATGGAAAGCAGCCCGACAGAAATAGTCATTTTGTTTAACCAGAAACAGCCGTACTATAGCTACCAGACTCCACAGAAAAAAAAACTGTGATTCTATCTTGCATGTCATTGTAGCTTCGGGACAGAAACAAATGAAAACTCAGAAAAAAACATCTTTGTTGTCCTGGTTGAAATAAATCCGTAATCCACCGACATAGATGAGAAAAACAGCAGTTTCAGTCTCTACTCAGCTGCACACGAGGCAGACGACTATGTAAACAAACCACAGAGAGGCTGTGATAGCAACACAGGCAGAGGGAGCGTGACTCATTTTCTGCTCAGGACACTATGACTCCATCATATATTTACATAGCAAATTGTGGTTTGCTGCTATATTTGCTGTACAACCCTTGCAAGTAATAATATTTTATTTGGACGCTATCCTTGACTCAGCCACTAGGGTGCACATTTCCAACGTTATGGAAAACATAACAAAAGGCTGTAATTTAATTATTACACAGGCCGACTTTACATAACACATTGAACTTTTTTTTTTTTTTTTTTGAAGAAGGAGAAAATGACTTTCAGTGGGGATAACATTTAGTGTCATGAGAAAAATGACTCCATGAAACCGTGACGGGATTGTTGCACACCAGACCCATTGTTTCTGACAATTTGATGCCCCTTATATATTAATCCTAAATACAGAAATTTTCAATGTTTTAAAAAAAGACCCTTCTCTGCTCTACCAAAAACATCAGACTACCTTCCCCTCAGCAAAAAGGAAACATACATCCTCCCCATTTTCTGACCTCTCCTGCCCCCCTAAAAAATTGTGTAAAGTCCCTTAACCTGGAAAACTTCGTACGGGAAGATTCAATTTATTGATGCCTTTAAATCAGCTCTGCATCCCAGATCATTGTTGAGCTGTCCCATCAAAACAAAAGGTGAAACCTACCCACAAACATAAACCCCCCAATAAATTCTAATTTGGAAAAGGGGAATTATTTAAAGTATAGGCAATGGGAGTAGTTTGCATCCTATTTTAAGTCTGTTCACACTCGCTGTGAAATAACATACACTTCAAAGTGCTCAAGCTTCTGTCACAATTACATCACATCAAACCAGGCAGTACAGTGTGATATGAAGGAAAGAGAGCGTTAGAGAACAGAAATCATCAGACAAACAACACACTACAGAGAAGAAGAAGAAGCCTGAAATGACTGAAATGACTCCCACAAACATAATTACATATCACACAGCAGCAAAAGTAACTTTAAAATGTGTTTAAGCATTGCTGTCCTCTCTGTGTGATCACCCTTTGACAGCTGACTTCCTTGCCTTCCTATCAGAGAAGTTCAACCAGCCGGGCCTGAGGGCAGTGAAGGCAGCGCAGGAAGGACTTCGACCTACTGATGGCACATACACCGGGACAAGGTTGTGAGACGATAACACTAATGACACTTCCAAACATCTAATGTACAATGTTAAAATGACTCATTGATCATAAATAAAAAGTCCCGTAGTTCACTGAAGAGACAATATGGTATCATCTACATGCTGAAGTGTTGATATCAAAGTTTTTTCCCCTCTTTGTCAGGCTGGCAATGACTGCAACAGGTGGCTATAGAGTCTGATGATGACCAACTATTCATCATGCAGACGGGTAAAAAAAGAAAAAAGAAAATCTGGGTTTGACAGTTTTTTTTCCCACACTGCAGTGTAATGCCAGCTGACAAACATGTTCTTGTCTCTCTCTCACAATAATAATTTAAACTGTTCATGAAATTTCAAAGAGTTCCTCTTCCTATTGGTTCACTGATGCCAGTCACAACAGGAAGTGGTTGAGCAGTTAAACACAAGCAACATTGTAGATCAGTTTGTGCCCAGAGACTCCACATTGGAGAAGGAAAATCGGTGAAGAAAGGATAATCTGAAGCTAACAGGAAGCAAAAAGGAAAGCAAGCCTGAGCATACAAATCTGAATGTTGACACAAACGATATATCCGATTTAAAACCTTCAGTGTATAGAGTGATGTTCCTGTAGTTGTCACTGATTTGAAGGAAATGTGAGAATAAAGGGCTGAGCAAACATTGGTTCAAGCAAAAAGGATGCAAAGCGGACAGAGTTGAAGCTCTGGTGATAGGAGCGTCATTAAGACTCAAGAGGAGGGCTCGTCTTCATGCAGGTCCTCCAGCTCTACTTCTCTGGGTCCGTCTCCTGTGCTCCCCTTTCTGAAAGAAGAAGAAATAGAAGCAAGAAAGAGAGAGAAAGTAATAAGGAGCAGTTCTTTCTATGATTTCAATCAGGACAACTGCAGTGAGGACAGAGATCTCATAGACTATACTATTGAGCTTTATCTCTCCAAATGCAGCAGGATAACCAGAGAAGCTGTTTTCCCCATTTTCGTTACATGATGAGTATTAAAAACACAAAAAAAATGCTTTATCAATGTAACACAGCGTTGAATGACAGCAGCAGGGAGATGGCAAAACTCTCTGAGATGACAGCTGAGGGAAGGGCTGCTCCATCACTTCTCATGATGGGGATAAGCGAGAGTTAAGGAGGCTAAGGTGATGATGAGCGCAGCAGGCTGGTAGATGTTGGACAGACAGCGTGCCAGACTGTATTGCACAAAGTGTTACCTGAGTGAGGGGTGAAGTTTAAAAGAGGGCCGGAAGGGCCACGAGTCCCTGCAGCAAAGTGGGAGAAAAGATGGAAAAGTCACAGGTGAGCGGGCAAAGGTCACCTCAGGGGGTCAAAGACATAGTTGCTGGTGGAGATGACTTCCCCCATACACACCTCACCTCCTCAGTATGAAGGGTTAGGGCTATGTATGGCTTCAATATCAGATGCCAAAAAGACCAATCCAAAATAGTAAGCAATGACAGTTTTGATAATTGATTAAATGCTTAAGACCCTTAAGTTAATGTTAGTGTTTCTAACATGGTTTTTCTGATTCATACCAATATAAACTTTTTTGCTTTGCTCAGACAAATTATGCTTAAAAAAAAAACTAAACATTTCTAACAGAAAGAGTTACAGACGGTGGATGTCTGAAAAACATTGTGCATCACGAGGCAAGCAAAGTCTAACTAAAGATGCTATCAAGTTGCATTATGGGCAATGTAGGATCCAGTGGTTTTGGAGCTTGACCCACGGTAGGTACTTAAATTTAGAATATCTTGGCCATACTGGTCTGATTTTGACCATTCTCTCTTAAATTTGTCACTGTATGATCCCACAGCTGTATGGAAGTGCAATCACTGATACCCATTTAACTGCTAATGGGAACACTAAATAACAGCATTATTGAAACCTCTTTGTAATAAAGTGTGACATCTTGTCAAGATGTGATCATTGTTAGGGTGATGAGTACACTAACCCTCACAACAATGTTTCTCTCAAATAAGACCACATTACCCATAAATCCTTTTACCTTCTGTCACAAAAAGGATATTACTTGCCCCCCCCCCGCCATGATTGTGCCGGTTGCTGCTTTCTCTTTCACTTTACTTCGGATGAATAATTAATTGCTAAACACTAGTAGACATTCACTTCTTCCACCTATCATTCAGAGAAATGTTTTTAAGGCTTTGGCAGAGCATCACTTGAGGCTCTCAGAGGGTGCCATGTCGTTGTGGATGGTCCCACATGTGTACATTAATATGTTTCAAAATGAAAGGACTTGGTAAGGGTCATTGGTTAAGGGCTTTTTTATAGTCCTCCAATCATTCATATAAAGCTCAAGAATCAGAATCAATAAGCAGCACACAGACTTAACGTGTCACTCCAAGGCTTCATGCTACTGTTATGTACAAAAGCATTGGTGTTTCATTATCCAGCAGGGGGCAATGTTGCTTTAATCTCCCTCGACATTCTCTGGAAACACCTTCACTTTAGATAGCAGTTCTATGGCTGCTTAGAGTGTAACAGGGGAAACCTCAGCATAGATAGAGAAGAAATCATCCAATAAAAGCCTCACAATAGGAGATTAGAGTCTAGTCCACAGTCAGTGCTACAGTGGTCCATCTTCATGACAAAGTCTGCTGGACATAGAACACAGATTACTGTCCCAGGGGCACACACCGAACAGCAAGGAACAGCTATAGATGCTCCAGTTTGCCCTTGGCTGTACTGTGTATGTTGAAATTGCCACAATATGATAAGACAATTGGCCATTGTGATGCGTTCAATCCTTGTAAAAGAAAATCCAAGGTCAGCCTGAGGCATTAGTGGATCTGTATCATTCTCTGTCACTCTGAATCATTCTACCCTTGAAAGCTGAATACAACACATAAAGAAACACTTATAAAAGCTGTAAGCTCCACTGCATACAATGAAAGAATGAATTATGGTGCTATGGCAACCCAAAGCAGCAGCTGCTGCTGCTGGAATGAATGCTAGTTAACCTGATACAGCAGAAAGAGGAGACAGGTGTAAAGTACCGATCTATGCCAGAATCTCAAGCAATCTCTGCAATTAGAAAGGGCCTATGTGGCTTAATTTTTGGTTTTTGTCTTCATGGATAAGATATGCAAGTATTAAGAGTGGAAGGAAGATCAGGACATGACTGCGTGTGCTTACATGAGCAGGCTGCCAGGCGCAGACATGGACCTCTCCTCTCTCCTGCTCGGACACTCAAAGGGGTTGCTGAAGGAGCGCTTCCTCAGCATGGCTCTTACCAAGATCTGAAACATTCACAAACACCGAATGGTTAAAAATACACGCAAAAGGTCCCCTTTTTGTTTTGAGCCTGTGGTCATGCACAGAGAATACAGTAGTTTGATTTTAATAAGGTGCTGGATGATTTTGCACAGAAACTGGTGAGGAAGGACTTGGTGACAGCTAATAAACGTGCAGACTGATGTCTTTGGATGAAAACGCTTGTTACGCTTATCATATATTGTTTTCACAGTCCCCTGCAGCTGAAGTAATACTTTTATATACATTGATACTAGTTTGTTATTGGTGAGACTAGCTGTTTACACTGCAGGTATTTGAGGTTTTTTTGGCAAAACACATCGAACACACAGGATATCTAGTGTCTGGTATATTTTGATGGCAAACAGCAGGAAGGGACACATGCAAATGTTAATATCCAGTAGTGGGGGCTTCTGTGCTTTAAACTTGTTCCAGCAGACAGGAATTTCATACTAACATTTCTAAATGCTAATATTTTATTTCTGCTAACAGGCTTCTATGCTTTTAACCTGTGCTGCCACTGATGGTTGAGGACCCACTCAGTTATTGTATTACTACCTGCACTAAGAGCAAATCTTTGCTGGTCTTGGGTAGCTGCTGTTCTCACTGGTTAGATAAAGCCGACAGATATCTAGAACATAAGGCATGTAGTATAAAAGTGCCACATACAAATTCAACTCTATTATGTAAGCGGACTGGTTTCCTCCATGTTTTTTTTAAATTTATAAATACTATAAGCTAATGTGTTGAGCACTTTGGCCAAAATACAGAATGAAAACATTTTGTAGTGCAGTCTGCATCTCTCACTGTTGTTGGCTAGCAGATCTTGACCTCTGCAATATTGTGGCCGTGCAGACATACAGTGGCGGCACACAGCAGCGGCCAATGAGGTATCTATGTTTCTATTTCTATTTAGGGAAGTTGGTCCTTTGCATTGTGTGTTATAGTTTACATGAATAATACCTGCAACTACTACTGTTCTGTACAAATGGGTTGAAATATTGGTCAGATACACACTATTCAAACTGGGACAGCAAAGTGTTTTTTTTTGTTTGTTGTTTTTAGATTTTAGAGTTCAAGAGGAAACCTTGTCCTCAATAAAGGGAAACAAGGCTGCCTTCCGAAATGTAAAATCAATGTGGCTGGAATTTGTCACAATTACGGTTAAAAGAAGAGTTGTTAAGGAGCAGCTTCTCTTAGGGCTTCACCTCTCCTGGAAATGATAAGTGTAAATGTTTCAACTTGACACAAAAGTGCTTGTTAAATGGAGGGTGCTCGGGTTGCTTACCACTGCAGAGAGGCTAGGGACGAACTTGACCGAGTTCTGGATATCCTCCTCGGTCACCTCCACCACAGAGCAGTGCTCCTCCTCCAGAGGCAAGGGGTCATTGCCTCCCTGGGTCACCCACTGGTCCATCTAAAACACACACACACACACACACACACACACACACACACAAACAGACATAGCATGACATATGACAGTGTCCTTACATGAAGACCTGTCTATAATCTGTGATCCGCTGTCGGTAAGATACAGCCATTTGCAACATTATAAGAAGTCTGTTTAACTCTGTGAATTGTTTCAGGTTTCAAATGCCCCAAACGGTGACTGCAGGTTTTATTCATGATTTAGCCCTTGTACTGCACAGCAGGCATATTTTACATTATTTCTGAGGATTTCCTAAAGCAAGGGATACGGTTTAGATTTATACTTTTCTACCAGCCAGGCGGCCATCTGTTTTGATTAATATTGTTATGCTCCATAAACCCAACTGCAAAAGTCAGACAATCCATCACAGTGATCAAGCAGCCAGAGTTTATTTCTGTCAAAGCTACTTCACAGTGGCTCACATCGATTAAAAAGTAAAAGACTGATGATGTTATATTTTATATTATTAATTTATTTATTATTTTTGTTTGTTATTGTCAAATCTCACAAAATGATAAAATCAAGGTCAGTCAGTCTCTCAATACTGACTTCCACTAGTCCTGTGTCAGCCCATTCATTCCTGTTTTTTCTAAAAAAAAAAGGCTCAGTAATTTACTAAAATAGCTAAATAGTGCTTTTGTTGGTAACCATTATGCAACGCAGATGTGGCGCTCTAGTATTTAAGGCAAGAGGATGGTGTTTCTGGGATTAATGCAGGATAAACAGTACGCATGCTCAGCGTAACATGCCACCCACTGTTATGGCTCATTGATATGTTTGTACTCATTGGTAGGATCAGTTCATTGTTGGTTTTGGGTCTTTTAATGGAATTAGCTGATAAGAAACATATTGAGTATCTCCAACCTTTAAAATGCCATGGTGCATTCGTGTGCTAGGTGGAAAGCTTTGACATCCAGGACTTCCAAGATGACTACAACATTTGAATGCTGTTTTGTTGGAAATGCTAACTCAAAATAATAACGAACCATAACATTACAAATGATATTGCTGCTTCTTCAGAACATTTCAATATGTATTTAATATCTCAGTCAATTATTCCCACAGCCCAGGAACACCCAAGAAGATCTGTTTCAAATTAGTGAGCATCAATTAGACATTCATGAAAAGAATGTATACAGCATGCTTAGATTGATGGGTAACCTCCCTAAAGCAACTTTCAAGTCTCTGGAAGTTTATATTTCAAAAATCAAGAGTATGTACATTTAATTGCATCTCATTAAATTGTTACATTTCAACCTCTCAGTGTTTTTTTGTTATCTCTACTGACTTTAAAGAATTTGTGTGTGAGCATGTGTGTGTGTGTGTGTGTGTGTGTGTATTTGTGCACAAGGATACACATGATGCCTGACAGCCTAATTATATTTTGTTCCATAAACACAAACTGAGTCTCTGGTGAGAAAATGACTCACTGACACATGATTAGATTGTGTCATAGAAACACGGTGGGGAGTAGGGAATGACATGTGTCCATGGCTGGTCCAGGACCTCCCTGCCCTCTACTACTGACTCAGTTTTAGTGCAGTCCTCCATAGAGACAAACATCAGCACAGTCATGTTGTGTGAACATGACCAACTTTATGATCATGCTCAAGTTATCTGCATGTCATCCTAACCCCTGGTCTCATTTGCCACCTGCTCTGTTCTCCGTGTTACCTTGATCTCAGGGATGGTGATCCTGGTGTCGGGGTTCTTGTCCAGCATCCGCAAGATCAGAGTCCGCAGCTCTTCACTGATCTTTGGTCTGCACGAAACACAAGATAATTATTTGGGGACATTTTTTGGAGTCTGGCTTGGTTGTACATGTGTTACATGATAAGAACATGGACACCAAAGTTGTACATGTCTCTATTAGACCAGGTTATTTCAAGCATGTTGAGCACCTTTATTATATTACATGAATGGCAGGCTCAGTGGTCACTGATTTCCTACAACAGTGTTTTCAAACACAAAAATATGAATGTCTATTCTAAACCCCTCATCACAGGTATGTTTCTGATCTGTGAGCACAAAAACAGTGAATATGCTTTCTCTAATAGTGAAATTTCAATCTTTTTTAGAGGCCATAAGAGGTATGCCATCCAGGATTTCACCAAGAAAAAATCAAAGACATTTTCCTTCATTCATTTAGAACCTTCACATTTTCTGTGACTCATAAAGCTTCCACAGTGTTAAGATTTGGTAACAGAAGTCTGAAAAGACTTAAGTGCTACAGAGGGCTCCTAAAGCTCATCCACACAGATGATATGACCAACAGAAGACGCGGCTGCACTTTTCATATATTCATATTTATTTATGCACCGATCAGCCATAACATTATGACCATCTGGCGCCCTGGCAGTCGTAATGTTATGCAGCCCAATACGCAACAAACTGTGATGAACTGTGTGTTCTGACACCTTTTTCTGACACCACTTTTGATAGGTACTGACCACTGCAGACCGGGAACACCCCACAATAGCTGTAGTTTTGGAAATGCTTTAGCCATCACAATTTGCCCATTTTCCCTGCTTCTAACACATCAATTTGAGGACAAAATGTTCACTGGCTGCCTAATATATCCCACCCACTTCATGTACATTTTAACCACATCTATAGCACTATAAAATGCAATAATTATTATATTAACTTACCGAAGTAAAGCAAGCAGAAGGATATTTATCTCCTGTGCAGTTAGCTATTGTGTTAACTGGGAACAGGAAGAAAGTTACAGCACATTCTGTGTACTACCAGATAGAAAGTACACAGAAGTTCTAATTTTCTCACCTCTGAGAGAATGCTTGTCACTTACTATCACTCAGCATATAGTTGTATGCTTAACTGAGCAGAATAACAGAGATGATGGTGACCCATGGATAATCTTGGTGTCTATGTTCTTGTTACATACCAAGGTCCCTAAACTTTATGTGGTTTCTGATGAAGAAAAAAACTGGCAACTGAACTGAAAACAATGCACAATGACTCCCAGCGAGGGCCGCTTGTGCCTCAGGGGGTAGTTCTGCAGTTGCTTTGGGGTATGTGGGAGGATTGTGAGTGTGTGAGAACCATACTGTCAATGGTGAAAACTAGTTAGCAAGATATCAGAGAAGTTGTTAGCTTAAAGTGATGGATAAAAACAGTTCAAATAGCTAAAAGTAATGGACAAACAGCTAAAACAGTTACATAAAAGTAGCCTAATGGATAAATAGTATTAGGCTCAAAGTAGCCTAAAGTAAGGGATAAACACTTCTAACAGTTAGAGCCTAATGGATAAATAATATTAGGCTAAATATGGCCTAATAGTTAGCTGAAAGTATTATATAAATGGTGGAAATAGCTAAAATTAACAGATAAACATTTGAAATAGTTAGCTAAAAGCAATGGATAAACAGTTATAATAGTTAGCTAAAAGTAATGGGTTGTGGAGTTCATGTCTGACAAAAAAGAGTGGAATTTATAGGACATTTTTTTCCTATTGGCAATATCAATGATTCATTTCACTGGCTGATGAAATGAAATAAAAGATCGTATCATAGGATTAGTATCTCAGTAAAATACGTTTATGTGAGCTCAGCCATTGATCATGATGACAGTGGCAACATTAAATGAACTACACCTAAAGCATAATGGGCCTATCAGAGCTGACAACAAGTCAGTCCAGTGTGGAGATGATTCCATTAGGTGATGTGATATTCTGTTCAGGAGGAGGATGATGTTTAATGAACGAGCTTTTCGCACAGCGAAGTCTCTTGAGCCCACTGGGGTAAGACACTTATCATTAACAATATGACATCCTGTCCCGATACATACTCTAACTGCCACTCTGAGCCCCTTCACATTTGCTGTGTTTATACTTCATCAGTGTGTTCCCATCACCACTGCCAGCCTCTTTCTGGCTTCCTAACTCTTGTTCTCTCTCTGTTTTTTGGTGATATTCACTAAAGAAGACATCCATGTTTTTCTTTAACCTTTTATGCAAAGGAAAGACGGTGGCTTTCACTGTATGTGTCCTGTATGTGTGTGGGTGACATTTACTGTGCTGGCACAGGCTGCTGTGCAAAGCTATTAATATTTTTGTAGGGGCAATTTGTAACTGAAAAAAAGAAGAGAACATTTTTTGCGACTGGGATGCAGATGAGAAGATAGCAAACAGCGAAGGCGTTGACAACAGCTGTGGTCTGGAGGTGGCTGAAACATAACTGCTGTCTTTTTTAATAAAGTGGAGGAGAGTGAAGGACGCAGGAGATGTACTTACGTTTCTGGGAAATCCACAAGCTTGGTCCTTATCTTATTGTGCAAGGCCAAAATGTACTCATCAATAAACGGGCACTGCAGGTGGAGCAGAGGAAAGACAGTGAAAAACACAAGGAAGGTACATTGAATTAATACAGTATCCCTAAAGTCACATAACAACAGCAGCAATCAGCTTCAAGCATTCATTCAAATAAATGATGCCACTAGACAACTGCCTTATCAAATATGAAAGATTGGTGTTAGATAGTGTTCCTACTAAAGTGCTACCGGCTGCTGTTAACAAGCATAGGAGTCAGTGAAACAAGCACTTATCCCAGCTTTAACTGTTACCTTTTGTGCACCAGATGTTGATAAGTGACTGGGAGACAGAAAAAAATGTGCAGACTTACCTTCCCAAAGACAAAACAGTAGAGAGTAACTCCCATGGCCCACACGTCCAGCGCCTTTAAGAAAGTGCATATAGTGACAATAAATGAAACAAGACAGACTGAAAAGCATGCATTTAGAGACATGCTGCAGTGATCCAAACACTTATTTGCATGAAGATAATCAGTGCAGACTGCCTACAGTGATTTATGGCACATTTTAATGTTATTTTTTGGGAGACGTCAGATACCATGGCGATGGATGTGTGTGATCAGATAGAGGCACTGCAGCTATCCATCAGGCTCTTTGTCTTCCTCGCCGCCTCTCTCTCTCTCCCTGTATGAATAGGTCTCCTAGAAATCCATTTCTATTCCTTGATAGATATGAAATGATAAAACTTGCCCTCTGAACCTGTGTAATATACCTGAATGCCACAGGCATTTGTTATCAGACGCAGAGCAGTGTGACTAACATGTTCTAACTGGGACTGACAACTGAGGGGGTTTAAGTGACACGTGAGTGTCCAAGATTAAATATTTCACTGCTGATGTACACCAAAATCACAAATGTTGGTGCATAAGGGACACCAAGCTGTCTGAACAAATCCAAATCAGGAAGAATACAAGACTAATCAGAAAAGTGGGGCCAGTATGACTGCATATATTTCTTGAAAGCTTGAGGACACAGCAGGCAGAGACACTTGAATGCCTCTTACATCCTTTCCATCTGCAATCAAATTTTCTATTCTGGCCCCTATTTTATGGACATACAAGGTCCTTCCTTGAGCAAATCCATCAGTCTGCCATAGCTGATAACCACTGGAGGAATGAACGTGACCTGTACCCATAATGTTGGATAAGCACAGGATGTCAGGGTTGAGACCTGGGGCAGGAATGGAAAGGTTCTTGGCTGTTAATTGTTCATAAATGAGCAAGTAGGGTAGATTCACAGGCCTCATTAGATCTTGCATGCTGGAAGAATGATGGAGGAATTACGTCAACTGGTAAGGCAGGTGGTGATCAATGCAGTTGTTTGAGAAGTGGCAGGTTATCCTGACAAACATGACTGATCATTGCTTGACGGTATACAGTATATTGATGTGAAACACTCCCACATCAGTACCAGGTATGTAAAACCAATAGCCTTATTGCATTTCTTGACTCTGGTCATGGTGCTCTTCTCGGCTGTATTTCTGGCTTCCTAGTTATTAGTACCAGCTAACACACAGGGGAATGACAGTTTGCTCCTTGGATTAGCAGGCCGGCATAGGTCTGAAAACTCATCTTGGTTTAATGGTTTTCATTTTCAAGTCACGACGTTAGGGCTTAGGTTAAGCAAGGATAAAGCACTTCACATTGGTGTATGAATAAAGAGTTAACTCACTTTTCCACTGAAGCTCTTTCGCGTGTCTGAAAGGGTCTCTGGTGCCATAAATGCAGGAGTGCCAGCAGTGCTGGACAGCAAAGCATCATTGCCCTCAAACTGGTTGCTGACCCCAAAGTCTGCGATCTTCACGTGTCCATCGTCTCCCAGTAACAGGTTAGAAGGCTTGATGTCCCGGTGGACAATCTTCTGGTAGTGCACTGAGGTTAAGAATGAGGAAGTAAATAGTAAAATTTTTAGAACTACTGCAACCTCTAAGCTGACAGCATCCTGATGATTTTGTTATTCTTGGACCCTCCCCTGTAGTGGGGCTAGAAAACGCCATTTTTACAAGTTGTACTTTTTGTTTAAAAAAATGCACATGGAATAAATCATGACTATGGCAGTTAAATCATTGTCTGGATAATAGGAATGGTGTAAAAATGTCAACTTAAGGTCATCTAAAACTGAAAGTGAAGTACATCTCTAAGCCGCAACACTTAACAGCTGTCTGGAGCAAAGCCCTGGACACTTCACTGATTGGATAAGTGGTGCCTTCCTGTCTGAGGGGGTCGTATTAAAACATGAAGCACTTGACTTATTATAAGCCCTTGGCAATTAAACGTCATGAGCACTAAGAAAAAAAACAAAAAACACACAACGTCAACGGCCTACAGAATGACTACTGATATCTATAATCTAGGGTTTAGAAGATTTTATTCAATTACTTACATTTTGACACAACTATCATGTTTGAGTTCATTCAAGAGAAAATCAACAGTGACTACATTGAGAATTCAATATTAAATAACTGAATGGTACAATTATCTGTGTGAATAAATTGTGTAAAATATAGTAATTTAAAAATTATTTTAAAATTATTATTAAATATTATTTCATTATTCTTATTTTTAGAATAAGTTTTATAGTTTTGAATTTTTATTTGTTTACAATTTTTTATTTCCCAATGATTGATTTTCATACCACTTTCTATTTCATAATATCACAGTGGCTTGTCGCCGCCCCCTCTTCTTTCAGCCAATCACGTGCCCCCTGTCTGTTGCCAGCAAGCTCAACAATGCTACCATATTTAGCCATTTAGCTCCTGTTAGCTAGAGCAACAGCACCAAAGTCATTCTGAATCAAACGTTTAGCTGGTGCTGTAAATAAACACAATCTGCAACCACAGAAACATTTTATATATTTAGCTTAACAAGACTGCAAATGCTACCTCGCTAGCTGCCTAACTAGCTAGGAGGGGTGGCTCGCTTTATTACTCAACCGAGTTAATGGCAGCAGCTTAATCCAGAGTTATATCAGCCGCGTTTTCCAGAGTTATATTAGTCACATTTGGATTCTAAAAATGTCAAGCAAAAAGACAGACAGTCTTTCTCTGTGGTCACTCAGGCTAACAGGACCTAGCTCACAGTGCAAACAATGACTCTTCACTTTGAAGCTAAAGAGGTAACTGGTGTACTGTTTCTTTGCAGCAGCAACATCTACTTGGTTGACTTTTGAACACTTTAGGGTCCTATAGTTTTAGTCACCACAATTTTGGTTTGAAAATGTGTCCTTACTGTAAAACTATACTTTATACAAATATACTCATATACCGTACTCATACAAGTAATCCACGGTTGTATTTTTCAAGAGGGACAGCTATAAAAGCCAAGTGGTTAAAAAAAAGACTTTTTAATCAGAAGAACCTGGTTCATCCACTCTGCTGAAGTACCCTTGAGCAGGAAATGTAGCCGAGCCCCAACTGTAACCTATGACTCAGGCGATGTAAGCACTCAAAAACATTAATGTTAAAGTGTATGGGAATTTAAAGTGGTGTCATTTTGTTGTTGAACTGTTGAAATGTATAAACAGTATAAGGTTGAGTTACTATAGCTTTATTTTCAAGATGGACCTCAAAGTTCAGACGGAGACGGCATTGATCCCTAATCATTAGGCTCATAGCCCAGGGAAATAGATCTGGTACAGCAAATGAGGACACAGTTTGAGAAAATCTGTTTCACTGAACAAAGGCTCGATACTGATCTGCAGCCAGACCCCAGGGGCATGGAAACAGAGGGTCAAGACACTTTGTTCTTTCACATAAAAAAGGAAAATGCTACCATATCACTCTTTTTTTTTTTAAGAGTAGTGAGAGAGAATACTGTTGGAAAGACACAGTGGTCCAAATGTTTTAGCTTTTACAGTATCATAATGGGGACGATAAAGAGTGATATCTTTAGAAACGGAATATCTAATGCTTTCCTGGCCACTGAAAACACCCATAAAACTGCATGTGGCTCTTTAAGTGGGAGTGGGGTGACAGAGATTTAAAATGACTAAAAATGTATAAATTAGTTTCACTGAAACGCTTCCCAGAAAGGTTTCACAGACCCAAAGACTCACCCTGCGTGAGATACTTACGGTACTCTATGCCCAGGATGACGTCTCTGAAGTATAACCTCGCCTGCTCTTCTGACAGAGGGTTGTCTGTGGGCACTTCCATTACTGGACTGCAAATCCACAAAGGCAGGCAAAAGAACAAACAGACACAAAGACAACGAGGCAGACAAATCCACAGATTGAGTGTATCAGTTGTTTCATTATTAGCACAGAGATTTGATTCCAAATGGGAAGACACTGAAACGTCTAAGCAGACATACACGTCCTGATCAAACATCACTGATACTCAAAAGCTGCAATAAAGACCATCTTTGTATATAGATCCCAAACCCGAAAGCACCAAGAACAGCTTTGTATCTGTTTGGATGAGTGTACAGGACTTATATATAAATCACTATCTCACTATTACAAACACCTTCTACAAAGACAGTTGGAGTTTAGGACTGACAATTAATTATTATTTCCATCATTGATCGATGTCTTTTCAGTAAAACTTATTTTTCCATCCCATGTAGCATTTATAAAGCAGTATGTTAATGTTTAATAAATGCTATTAACAGACATTGTTTTTATAAGCAGATTTAACATGTTTTTTATACTATCTTACAATATGAAACAATATAACTATTCATTTTTCAACATTCAAATGAAAATTAAAAATGACAGTATGCATAGAGAGAATAGCAGCCATAAAATATATATTTATACATTAGCTAATCACAGTTACACAATGTTTTATAATACTTATTTAAACATTTAAAAAACATATTTGATCTACTGAAGATGATTGATAACACAATCACATCACATATAATCAATTACAAGTATTGTATTAAGCATTTACTAACTGTTTATATATAATTTATGAACACTTCATAGGACGACAACAAATATGCTTACACCTGCTTACAAATACACTATAGCGTTATATTGTGTGATTTAAACAGTTTATTGATTTTTATATAGTGCTTCTTATTATGAAAGAGAAGGAGTTAGAATAAAGTGTTACCATTTTTTTCACATAATTAACTAATTCTATGAAATGTGAGAAAGTATTAAGAGATTTCCCAGAACTCTCATAACGTCTCCAAATTCAATTGTCACAACTGTTGGCAATATAGATTAAGTACTTGTGAGTTCAAGGATATAGGTGGAATTACAATTTCAAGTCAAAACCCATTTTAGCTTATAGCAGTATTTATCATAGCACTCCAGTAGCAATGCATACAGTAGTAGCAAAAGCAGTCATAGTCAGACACTAGCAGTACTGAAGTAAGAGGTGGTAGAATTAGTTGTAATAGTACAGCAGCATTAGCAGCAGTAGCTGTAGCTCTACAAGCAGTTGTAGCTGTAGCACTTTGGATTCCATCCCATGTATAAAAATGGAATAAATAAATGGTTTATGAGTAGTAGAAGCCATATTGTATTAATCAGCTCAACTGTCTATCATCACATCACATCCTCACTCTTTACCATTATGAAAAGCTAACAAACAGAGCATATCTTCCTATTAAAAGCAGAACATAACTTATTTATGCACATATGTGAAACGATACCAGCTACTCCCTCCCACCTCCATTCGCTTATGATAACAAAATGGTCTCAGATCATTAGATCATCACAAGAGTAGGAAGGAACAGCTCGTGCATCAGGACGTGAAACACTTACACAACTGGCTGCCACCCGTAATAACTGTGAAAACCTAAGAACATTACAAATCCCTTTGAAGTCTGAGATGGAACAAACACCCGCACTGTGTCAGCTTGGAGTAATGAAGGAGAACACTGCAGACACCGAAGCAGGAACCGAGGGATGGGGAGGCGAAGGTAGAGGAACAGAGGGGATGAGCCTTAAATTATAAAAAAAAAGGACATGTTCTCTACTCACCCCTTACGCATCAGCTCAAACACTGTCAGAAGAAAGGAGGGAGAAGGAAATAAGTACACGTTCAGACCAAGCAATTTATTCTTTCATTCATTTAGCTGGGGTTTGACCACTCCTGCCATTGAGACCCTGCATCGGATTTATTAATTTACAAGAGCATTGAATGAGCTGGATGTGCCACATTAAGAGCATAAAGAGTTTGACGTTTCACACTAACAGGCGTCCTAGCTGTGACCTGGCACTGCTGATGGAAGATTTCTGCATAATGTGTGAACCCTGAGGTGATGTGGAAGGAAGCAAGAGATGGTCTGAATAATGAATCAGTTATATGAACACTTGTTGGTGGCATATGTGCCGAGTGCCAAAGGCTGAGAGCGGGCAAAAATAGGGTGAAAGATTTGGACAAAGAAAATATGGTCTGCATACCCATGTGAAGGTTGTCCTCCGCTGGATCATCCAGCACCTGCAAAATTAACATAATCATCATGAATGGAGAGTTTCCAGTTGAAATCTTCAAGGTCCTATGTGGTAGGTACAGGTGAGTGTGAACAATGTAAAAGTTAACATATGATACTTCTTCTCAGGGTCATTCAAAAAGCTGAAAGTATAAATTCAGGATCAGTATTTTCTTTCTTACAAAGGACTGAGCAGAAGAGGCAATTGTGATGACAGCACCCTTGAAACCCTTGAAAAAAGTGGTTGAAAAGGAACTTTTCTATGTGCAATTCAATAGTTCTCTTTTACAGAGTATGCCATGTTTCTACAGTAGCCCAGAACGGACAAACCAAACACTGGCTCTAGAGAGGGCCTTTTGCAAGTTATGAGGCCACCATAGTTCGTCCTACACACTTAGAAGGCCGTGCTGTATTCAGGCGGTGCAATGTGCAATTTGACAGCTAGATGCCACTAAATCCTATCCCTAAATTCCTAAAACTTGTTAAAGTTTGAATGAAACTGAATGAATGTTTGAATGAAAACATTTGTGGGGGGTGTACAGTTCATACGGAATCTCCGATCCAACTTTCTGTCCTCAAGTGGCATTATGGGTAACGCAGGTGACATGTTTTGACAAGAATTTTGACAAGGACAAAGAATGTGTGCAATAAAAAAGATGACGTGTCTGGTTCTGCTGCATTGGTTTTGACGGGTGATGGACTACAAGGCAACTGGCTCACAGCTCCCATAAACTACGGGACACACAGCCCATCTGGAGCATCTGTTTAAATACAACATCCTGGTGAATTTAAATTACCACAGTGAGGATAAATGTCAGTACACACAGTACTGGAAAAACAAGGGCAGGACATCGCCTCTAAAGCAACAGGAACACTATTTACTCATGTCAGTTGTAACAGGCCACAAAACAGTCAATAGGTGAATGTTTGCTCATACTGTCTAATATGTGTTTGCTTAAAGATTCCCAACAGACACCTATTAAGACATATACAGTATATACAAATAGTCTGCTTGGAACACGACTGTGTGTCTGATGTAGTTTTCCACATCAAAATACTTAAAAAAGCATCAACTCCTCCCATCTCATTAAGAATTCAGAATCTATGAATATGCTAATTCTGTTGTTCAGTTTCCTGCTGGACACAAGATGTCTCCTACTGCTCTGTAAAGCCCATTCTCAGTGGATGTGCACTGGTGGCTTCAAGTTTCTACATCACACTGTAGAAATTGCTAAATGGAAATGTAAATGTGCTTGTTGACCCCACCCCTTAAAAATCTGATCTTCAATGAGCACAGAGAAACTTTCCACTTCCAGCAGATTAATGTGAAAACATGCCTTCCTAGTGTCAAACTTGCACATACATAATTCAAACAGCACACTGTAGGAAGAAGAAAAACAGATTTTTGAGCAGAGGTGAATATTAAATAAATTCTGTCTGTTCTATTTGAATTACGCATTATATTTCTACATTTGTTCCAAGTGAAAAGGCTATAAGCAGTAAATGAGCTGTTCTGTGCAAAGTGCAAACCATTAGCAGCCTAGCAGTCTTATTTGTAGCTGTTGACTAATGCAGCGACTAAGATGCATTAAAAGGGTGTCTTGGCTTATGGGGAAATGGCATAAATTGAGTTTGGGATTTATAAGTGTCTGTTCTCATTACAACTGCATGCCATGGTGAGTATGGGGCCGGTTTTACTTTCTCTTCCCAAGCATCTGTAACAAATGACCATATCACTTTCATCAGTTTTAATCTGTTCCACTCGGCGTCTGCTTTAATGTTTAAAAAAAAAGAGAAAAAGTCTATTCATAATTAGATGGAGTGGACTGCAGCCTCACAGGAATCAGTTGGAAACCCATAATGAATGTTATCCTGACCCAAGCACAGCCCATTTAAATGGATGAACAGAGAGAGCTGGAGAGGAGGATCGCAGGCTTTCCCATTGCCCACATATGCCCATTATGAGTGTGAGAGTGAGGGCGGACAAAGACAGGAAGAGATGAGTGTGTGTATGTGTGTGTCTTCACTGCCGGAGCGAGGAGAGGAGCAGAAGTACTTGGCTTTTACTTAAAAACTCTTCTATATTTCTGGCACACTCTACACCTGAACAAGCCAGACAGCTTTCCTACTGACTGACTCCCTGAGCCTAACTCCCGACCATGGCGGTGGTGCCCCCGCCATCTGGCCAAGGTTGAAAAACACTCTGATAATATCACAAGGGAGCGGCGGGCATCTTGAGTCATGTCTTCTCAAAATCGGCTATCATTTTTCATAAACAACCGCCTCTGTAGAAACTGAAATCTATCCATCTCTAAAATTCCCCAACTCGGTTTGAAAGCGTCGGCTGTTGTGAGCAGAATAATCTATGTACAGGGTGGAGGCTTTGTTTTCCCTGCATAAACATCAAAAAGGTCCAGTGACATAAGTGTGATAGATGTGCTGGAGGGTAAACCTATCTCATTTTCCCCACCCGTTTCCTGCCAGCACAGGATTTTAGCCACCTTCTTGGTCTGACATAAACTGATATGCCATACAGTAAATACAAAGCATGAGTCAGGGTACACAGCAAGAAAGGTTATCTGAAGATAAGGATAATCCTGACCACAATGGATTTAAAACCTGTTGTGGATGTCCACATGCTATTATCTGAGAAACAGTTCTAAAATGACACATTTCCCTACTGCAAGATGCCATTTTTGCTTCAAATATTCATAAAATATGCATAGGTATGTTTTCATTAGTGTATAATCACCTCAAAATATGAATTGCTGAGAAATATAACGTTCTCATTAATGGATCTAAAAGGACTTTAAAGGACCAGTACGTAGGGTTTAGTAGCATCTACCAGTGAAATTGGAGATTGCAAACAACTTGAACACCACTCGCCTTCCAAATGTGTAGGAGAAACTATGGTGGCCGCAAAACTCGCAAAACATGCAAAAGGACCTATCTATCTTGCCATTGTTTGGTCTGTCTGTTCTGGGCTACTGTAGAAACATGGTGGACTACTTAGAAGAGGACCCACTTCCTCCGTAGATAAAAATAGTTAAGGTAACAAAAAAAACAACAATTCTTATTT